GACAAAAACAACTTGTTCGGCTAATTTAGAAGCATCAGAAACTCTATATCTAAGTGAAAGTATTAATGGTTAGAAACGGGTCCAAGAATTAGACTTCCAATTTTAAGAGATCATCCTGAAATTCAAAATGAGGTAAGGAAAGCTTATTTAAAAATAGGTCATCATCAACCTCCTCACAATTTCGTTTACTATTGTCCTGTTCAAAGTGAATAAAGACGTCGATTTTGCAAAAATTAATTTGATTTGTACGACTAGATTGATTATAGTGAATCTAAGGACCTAGCATTTTGTTTGCCGTGTTTTTTTGTTTAAAAATGTCTCAAAATATGGAGGGGTCACTTTGTGGAAAAGGAATTTGGTGATTGGAAGAATGTTCAAAGATTGGCTAATCATGCTACTTTTTCCAAAAGTCATGTTGATTGTGTGCATATGGGTTATGCTCTCATGAGCCCAAACCAAAGTATTAAAGAAATATTTGTTAGTCAAACTAAGAAAATTAATTTTGAATATTGTGTTCGTGTAAACACATCTCATATAACTACTAAGATTATTTTGAGGTGTGGTATGCCATTTAGAGGGAGTGACGAGTCCCTTAACTCTTTATTTAAGGGGTCATTTCTTGAATTGATGGACACTCTAAAGAAACTTAACTCATAGATAGCTAGTGTAATAGATTGAGCTTTGGGAAATAACTTTATGATTGTCCCTAAGATTCAAAAAGATCTTGATGCTGCTTCTACATGTTAAAAAACTCAACAAATTATATGTATCATTGCAGATGATGTGTTTTATATTTTGATTGATGAATCTGCTGGTGACGTTGCTGGTAAAGAACAAATGGTGGTTCTTGTTGTTCGTTATGTTAATAGTGAAGGTTTGATAAAAGAAATGTTTCTTGGCATTGTAAGTGTTAAAGAAACAAGTGTTAAGTCACTTAAGGAGACACTTGAGAAGTTGTTGTCTATTAATGGCTTGAGTTTATCTAGGATTTATGGGGAAGGGTATGGTGGAGCTAGCAATATGCGAGGTAAATTTGGTGGTTTGAGAACTTTAATCTAAAATGAGAATTCATTTGCTTATTATGTGCATTGTTTCACCCATTATCTTCAATTGGTATTTGTTGTATGTTCTAAGACTCACAAGATGTTAGTGGTTTTTGAGTAAGGGCAATATCCTTGTTAATTTCATACGATCTTCTAACAAGGGACAAGAATTGTTTCGGGACAAACAAGTAATTCAGTTTGCTATATTGATTGAAGATGGTCAGATAGAGACTAATAGAGGATTTAAATTAAGAATTATCTCTCGCTAGTTTGATTACTTTGTAAGGCGTCATTGTTGGGGTACTTGAAGAAGTAGGGAAAGATGTGTCATTTGAAAAATATGGTGAAATTATACTTTTACTAGATGTGCTTCAGTCCTTCGATTTTATCTTCATATTATATATGATGGTTGGGATTTTAGGATTCACAAATGATTTGAGTGTAGTGTTACAAAAACGTGATCAAGATCTTTTTGAATGTTTTGTCACTTGTCAATGCTACCAAACAAGAATTAGCAGAAATGAGGAATGATGGATAGGAAGAACTTATATCTAAGGTTATGAAAATTTGCAATAAGTATGATATTGATGTGCCTGATATGGACTCATCATATGCGCAAGGGAAGAAACCTAGACAACATGCTACAACTTCTAGTGTTTTGAATTTGCATCATTATATACATGATTGTTTGCTTAGTGTTTTAGATTTGCAGTTTAATTAAGGGAATACTAAACTTTTAGATTTGTAGTTAAAAAGATTTTCAGATCTTTGTGGAACATTTGTGGAAACAAATAAATGCAACACATTTTATATGGTTTATAAGCTCCTAATGTTAGGTTTAGTCTTGTTGGTAGCAACAACAAGCGTGTAACGTGTTTTTTCGACTATGAAGTTTGTGAAGAGTTAGTTATGCAACAAAATGAGTGATTAGTGATAAAATGATCGTCTTGTTATTTTTATAGAAAGAGATGTTCTTGAATAATTAATAATGATTTTAGCTCATTTTTAAAAAATGGTTAGTAGACGATTTTCATTATAAATATACTTCATTAAACAAAACTATTTCTTTCTTTTTTTAATATAATTTAGTTCATACTTTCTGTCATGTTTAGTCATATCAATATGTAATGTTTGGATCCTTCCCTCTTGGTGAACCGATCTCTTCTTCAACCCACTTTATATTCCATAGTTCTGCGTATAGCCGCCAACCTACTGCTATTGTCTACCAAAAGCATTCTTGCCTACATGCCTTAGATGCAACTTCATGACAAAACCAATGCTAATAACCCATATCTCTTATGTTGGAGAAAAACAAAAATCTGGCCCTCTTGGATCCCACAGCTGAGAGTTTGTTAAACCTATTGTGCTTTAGCTTACTTCAGTTTACAATGTTTTTCACTTTTCAACCTTAGCAACCAAATTTGTATTACCTTCTCATAGAGAATTCCCAACCAAACTCTTTCATTGAGATGCATGGCTCTGTTCTGTAAGGTCATAAATCCTCCTATTGAAATGCAATCAAGCTGAAATTGGATGGAAAACTCTCATACTAATTGTTTGGGTATAACTCAAAAGGTTTGGAATCGTTGAACTGTTAAGTTGCATCTTAACATTTGTCACAAGTGACTCGCTATCTGGTTTTGGTGGTTTTGCTGGAGGTCGAAGGTTGATTGGAGCATTGAAAACCAAACTATTTTGGACATTCCAGTGTATTCCCATCCATTATTGATCATCATACATAAAACTTTTTCCTTTTTGACTTTTGCATCAGCATCGAGACACACTTTGGACTTTTTTGGTTTTAGTCTTCATTATGAACTTTTTAAGAATCACGTTGCTTAATTGTTGAGTTCTTTTATCATTTCCACGTTCACCTTTCACTTCTACCTTCTATTCATTCATTTTCTTCTGGCACTTTCCTACATTTTGTTCTGTTTCATGATTTTCCAGCATTGTTTCATGATAAGGGTCGTCTCATTGAATGCAAGTGTCCAAGGTGATTTTGTTAGTGTCAACTTAGTCGGAGTCACCTCTTGTGGTGCTGGCTCAAGAAAAGCTCTTGGTGGTAGGTAGTAGTCTGGTAGCTCTAGTGAATGTGTGATTTGAACTCAATGTTCACCACCATCTCTAAATTCTAATCTTGATGTTTTATTAGCAAAATAATTGGTCATTTGAGTGGACATTGCATGTGGCACAATGTCGGCCATTTCCAAGAAAAGTAACTTAGAGTAAGAACTTGGATCTTCGAAGGAACGGCTGGAGAGAAACAATTTGATAGCATCAGTGAAATTAGATTTGATTGCAAGATGGAATCAAATTGCTTAGGGTACCACAAAGGAATTTTGATTCTTCTCTTTCTAACTTAACTTGCAAACTTGTGTAGCACCGACACTAATGAAAAAATATGTGTATGTGTCCATGTCAATATCGGACACTTGCATTGACACTTGTGATTACGTTTAATTTATTTATTTTTTCAAATTATTATCAATGTCTCTGTGTCAGTGTCATATTTAGAGTGTCTGTGTTTCATAGCTGTAGGCAAAGACTTTGAAAATGATTCATTATTGCAAATCTTCTCACCTCTTTATGAATCGGATCCGTAGAAATTTCTTCTTTCTTCTCTAATATCTCCACCAATTGATTTTACTTGTCTAGGAGTTTTCTATCTCCATTTGCACTTCTTACTTCAAGGTTGAAAATCCTTCAACAACACAATTATCATTGTTTAATGTAAATCTCAAGATCATATTTGAAGAGAATGATGTCCAGTTCAAATTCAGGTCCTCATGAAACTAAGAACTGAACAAACGCATGGCAATTGATCAAAGTCGTCAATTTCGTGCTCCTTAAAATTATTTCCGCCCTTGCAAGCCACCCAACAAAGTCTATCTCTTTAAAAGTTGATAAATTCACCCATTGAAATGCCTTCATCTCCAAAAACACTAGCACTTCTCGAAGATCCGGTAGGTCTGGCCAATTATTAGCAACCCAAGAATTAGATTCTAAAGAAAGAACACTCTAATTTAAAAAGTAAGAAATAACAAGAGAGCAAACTCTCCTCAAAGATTTCCCCTTCACAATAGAATTGTTACTCTATTCACAAATAATTATAATATTCAATAATATCAACTCTACATTCTATTCTTCTATTTATACAAGTATTATAACCACATTAACTACTAACAAATTAACTAACTTCTATAACAACCCTTATCTACTTTAACTACTATAACTAATCACTATTTTACATCCTAAAAAATTGATTTATAGTATGTGGAAATTGGCAACTAAAAAATTGACTACCAAAATGATAAACAACTTGTTCATTTTTCCTGAGTCTCATAAAACAAACTGAAGTAGAAGTAATAACCTAACCTACTACCAGATTGGCATGTTTGATGTTTTATATCAGGATAAATGAGTTCTATTCATCTACAATGGATTCAGTAAATAAAGATTATGAAGCAAGAGAGTATGTTTTGCTTATCCATATAATGGTTCATTTTATAGCAATTTTTAATTAAGAGTGAAAATTTGCTATCAGTCTATCTATCAGAGTAATAAATTTCATTCCACTTCTAAATCAAGAAAATCATCTTTCTCTGCGAATAGCTTATCTAAAAAATACAATAACTTAGTGAGCAATGTCTGCTCAAAAACAAAGTGGAAGTTAAAAAAAAAAAGATGACATTACAAAAAGGTTGATATGCATGCAAATGTGTGTGAGCATTATAGTAATTGATTCAGTCATAATTGTTAAGTTTCTAACTGAAATAAACCAATTAACCTCGCATTTCTTAAGACCAACTCAGCAGAGAAATAATCTGCATTAGAGTAGAAGGTATTACCACAACAAACTGAAAATGAAATTGAAAATGAAGAGGTGATAAAGTTTACGAATTGGTCGATACAATTTTCACCAAATGCTCATAATTAAATTATTGACTTTCCCTATTACTTACAACCATCCACAAGTATTCTCTTCATATGATCAACTAATCCTTGAATTTGCTCTCTTGAATGAAGGGGTGAAGGGTATATACAAGTACAATCCAACTTTCCATTCCGTATGGCGTCAAATATGGCTATCGACGGGCCAACACCATGTGCGGAAGCACAGCCCAAATAGTCTTCCAATCCAAGCTCTTGATGCATTTCAGTTGAATCATCAATGACAAGGTCATCAAATACAGAGACCAGTGCAGTTCTAAGAGATGATGATGGTGTCAAACCAGGGTTTTCAATGGCCTTGCACATGAGGAAGTTGAGATCAGACATATCTGTGAAATGCTTATTGTTGTACAAAGCATTTTCAAAGGATGTGTAACTTCTCTTTGCTAACTCCCATAAGGTTTCTCCACACACATCATGGGTATTTAAAATCGCAGAATGGTAAAATCCTGAACCAAACAACAGATAAATAAACGACACTATTAAACTCTTTCAAAATGATTTAAAAAGCATCACAAGTTCATTAATTTCACTAGTTTGTTTGAAATTGAGAACCTAATTTCATTGCTAAAATGATCAGAAGAATTTTTGTCAATCGGTTGTGTGTAATATCAAGTAGCATATATATAATAAGCCATGAGTGTAATCCGTACGCATTGTTGGTGTAAAAAAATTTACACATCCATTCAATCAAATTTCATCAATTAAGTCCATAAAACAAACACAAAAAGGAACAAGGAATATCAGAAACTACGGCATACCACAATGGCTGCTGGAAAGTACTGGAGCAAGAAGTGGGCGACAGTCAATGAGTGTTACTACAGCATATTTTTCTGATTCATAATCAGAAAGGCGCTTAGATTTCCATGTGGCAATCATTCCAGCTGCTGCAAGTGCCGCACAAAGTTTAATTCCTCTTGATTTGCATCCCTACATAATCTTGCATGATTACCTTAATTCATTTAACTGCCAGATCATAGGCAAAAAAGTGGGATGCCATAACATTTTAACATTTTGAAAATATTGAATCAGTGGTTATAAGCCAAGGCTATACTAGTTCTATACTACATTTAATTGTTCCAATACATCAAAGGGTATAAATGTGTACAAATACAGAGACTAAGTTAAGTTTTTGAATTAAGTAGAGAATCATATGAAGAGGGAACTCTCTTCAGGAGTTTGAAAGTTGTTGCCCTATTTAATTAATGACCTATTTTATATTAGTAATGTTTTTAACTAAGTAGTTTGACTCATCTTTAAATGAATAGACCAATAAAATTACCCTTAATGTCATATTTTAGTTTTAGTTTATAATAATTAATACATTTAAATATACAAAAATTTAATGTAGACTAATATGATTAAATTACTACTAAAATAATATTGATTAATTGATATTAATAATCTAACAGAAAGTATTAGAGTTAAATACAAATTGCACCCATATCTATCCCATATTGTCATATTCTCAATCTTCCTTCCAGACATCGGCCCCATACACAACATAAACGTCTCTCCAATCATCTCAGAATATTATTATTAAATTAAATAATAAAACAAAATCAGTGGACCTACACTAGTCACCACCACTACGAGTACCAAAGTGTAAGAGTTTTGATTTTTTGGTACAAAGCAAGAATTTTGTTTTTGATGTTGATAACAAATTATATGTCAGTTTATAATATTACAAAAACATTTATCAACTTTTTAAATAGTATTCCCATATAATTAAATAATTTATCCAACTATTTCATTATTACTATTTTCAACTACTCCAACTATTATGCATATTTTTATCTTAATAACCAATCATTGAAATGTTAGCACCGCACCGCCCTAGTCGCCTGATTGCGGCATTTGGCTTGCCTAACTCCAACACCTTCATTGTTTTGGGTTTGAATAGGTGGATTTAGTCTCACATTGCATAGAGATGTGACCTATATATAGTGTTTATAACATTGCGTAGAGATATGATATCTAGAGATATGATCTATATAGTGTTTATAAAGTTTGGGAAGCCCTAACAAATCAGTTTTTTAGGGATGAAATGGACTGAACGCAAACATTAAGATTCTATCCTAAACCTGTTATTGGGATTCCAGTTCCCGCATAGTCCATGCTTCAAGCTCATTGAAACTAAGGATGAGGAGGTGTGATGGAATCTCGGCTTTCATTACGGTTCACCCCTAGTCGCCTAATTGCAGTATTGACTTGTCTTTATTGCACTTCCAATTTGAAATATTTATTTGTCTCATATTAACTCAAATGTTACTAGTACAATATTAATCAACTAAACATTATAGTACATTTAACCACTCATTAATTAACACAAATGTACTGACTTCATCACCTTAAACTATCAATAATAAGGGTAAGTAATATTAGTACCAATGTACCATTGATCTGATTTTTGTACTATACCAGTAACCTAACCTACACAATACACAATCTAAAAGAGAAACATAAATATGTTCTCTGAAACTAATAAAAAGATATCCAAATTTTTTTGAAAATGATACTCATGAACTTACAACAACACAAACTAATAGTATTTTGTATATAGTTTTCTTAAATTAAAAAAAAAATGGTAAATTCACTCTTATTATGTGTTTATGAGAGTATTTTCACTAGAAGATTGTAATAATGCATAATTAACAGAGAATAGTGGGGACTCACATCTAGCAGACTCTTGGTTTCATCTGCATTCAGTTGAAGCCTCACAATTCTAGAGCTTCGAGGCAAATCAGCATTCACGAAACTCAAATTCGAAAATCTAAACGCATTAAGCGAGTAACCAAGCACATCAAATCCACGAGCCCAAAACGGTTTATTCTTCTTCCCTTCAGGGATCAGATCCTCAATCGCAAGATTCACCTTATCATCCTTAACTTCTCCGGCTTCACCTCCACCTCTTCCGGCGACAAGCCTCAAGAGCTCTTTAAGTAGCGCCACGGCCGCGGCACGGTCGCAAGCCGACGTGTGAAGGCGAAGGAACAACGCGAACCGTTTATCGCTAATCGCGTACGTGCTGGCATACATAACGTCGGCGTCTCCGTCTTCAGGATCTCGCCACGTGTCGCGGTTCATCTCGTGTTCGAGTAGCGCGTGGAAGGGGTCGATGAGATCGTGATCATTGGTTTGCGTTTGGAGGATTTGGGAGGTTGATTGGAGATCGAAGGGCTCGATTTGGACGCGGGGAGCTGGGGGAGTTACGAAGTGGAAAGTGTTGGTGGTTGTGTCAAGGTGGATCTTTGAACGGAGGATTGGGTGGGAAATTTGGAGTTTGTGGAGGGCATTTTGGAGGTGAGGGATTTGTGGAGGTTTAGAGAGAAGGAGGCTGAGGACGGTGGAGCCGGTGCCTCCGGGAACCGCTTTGCACCAGCCGTATTCGGTGCCGCCGACGGGTCGGGTCGTGGGCGTTGGTTGATCTCGATTATCGTTTTTGCTTTCTTGGGCCATGGTGCTCTGTATTGTGGTGGTGAATAAGAAGGAGAAGAGGGTGGAGTGTGTAATGTTGCAGAACGAGATAAAGAAGTGAGGAAAGCGATTACGTAATTAAGCGATGACGTATTAGACATCTAGACTCTATGCTCCGGCGAGATACATTTTTGAGCTTCGCTTTGATAACGACATTTCTATAATGAATTTATAATTTATTTTATTAATTTATAGTTATTTTTCCAACATTATTTTAAATAGCATTTTAATTTATAATTTATTATATTTTTTTATTTTTATTTTTATTATTTTAATAAAAATTTCATTTTTATTTTTATAATTTATTTTAATTTAAAATAAAATAATTATATATTAAATATTTTTTATGCTATTACATATATATAAATTAATTTTATAAAATATTTTAATTAGTTTATCAGTTATTAGTCATCAATTATTAACTATAAATTATAAGTTATTAGTCATCACTTATAAATTATAAATTATTTGTTAGTTCAAGGTTATTTTTATTAAATGCACCTTATTTCTTGATCTAGAAAACATTTTTTAATTCCATTGAAAAGATATGGATCTCTCCTTCATTTCTTCTACTGCTATCTCTCATTCTCAATTTTCAGCCTTTAGATTTCATCTACCCATTTAATTTTGTCTATTTTTAAAGTTGTCATATAGATATGTTTGTTTCATTTAAATTTATCTCAAAAAATTGAAATAGGACGGTCATAAATTAGGATGCAGACCTAAAATCTTAAAAAGTGAATGCGGGATGACAAAAGTCCGTGAATATTGCATCTTTTGAATTTAAAAATACAAAAATTTATATAATTGTTCATGTTCGTAAATGCCCACAAAAAAAACGAGACGTCGAAGTGGAATAAACTCATTAAAAAATGAAGATTTAAACTCTTAATTCAGTTTGCATTAAAATACAGACAAAACTGATATGTTAAACTAATTAGGTCCTTTTTTACGACTATTAGATCAAAGTAGAATGGATCAGATAACAAATTGGAGAAGATTCAAATCCATTGATTTTATTCACAATGTCCTATTTTTAAAAGGTGAAAGTCTATTCAACCACCCCTAGATAAATTCAGGGTATAATACTTTTGGTGACATGAGATGATATGTGTAGTTAGTTTTCAAACTTTAAGCTATAAATTAATTTTTATTGTAAATTATACTACTTTTAAAATTAGTGAGTTATATTTTAAGTTTTTAATTTTATAAATTTACATTTTAGTATAGATTATTAAATTATGTAGAGGAAAAACTAAAGAAGGTTGGGAATGTAAGCACTATATGTGAAGATAAAGATTCTAAATTTACAAAGTTCAAATATCCTTATCAAATAAAATTGTAATACAAGATTGTTCTAAATTAACTGAAGTTTTAGTTTAATAGTTATTAAGATGTTGTTTTAGTATATATACAATCCTAAATTGTATGTCGTCTCTAAGGTTTATGTATTTGCTCTGTATTTTTATCGGTTATGTGTTTTTAGGATCAACCATAAATTATGTAGTACTATTTGGTTAATAAGTAAATAAGTTTTTTCTATCTTCCATACGATGGCAACATAAATAGTTAGTTATGTATGAATGTATGTATCAGCAAAATAATTTCTTGACAAACTAGAGTATATCATATTGATATATCTAAGTAGGTATTTAGTTACCTAAAGTTTATTTCATTATTATGCATAATAACAGTTATAAATTCTAATAGTTTATTAAATGGGATGGATGGGGTAGTCCAAATTTAATTTGCTAAAACCATGGTATTTTATTTTAATGTTGTATTTGAATTTGTGTTTTTTTTTTGGTATGTTAATCAATTATAACAATTATATATTTTTTCTAGCTTTCAAATGATAGGATAAGACACAGAGGAAAACACTAATGAACAAGAATCAATAAGATTACAACTTTTACTATTTGATTTCTTTACAATTTAATATCTTTTGATGCATTATTGTTTATCAAATTGATACTCTTAATCATGTAGAAAAAGAGATGTTCACAGGTTATTTTGTCCAAGATGTTTGTCATCCAAGACTCTTCCTTTAAAAAAGTCTCGCATGACCCTAGAAAAACTTATTTCGAAAAACTCAAGAACCAATATTAGCATGCGCCAAAAAAACTCAAGCATCATTGGTTTGGGTTGTATCATTAGAGGCCTCACAACCTACTCAAACAACCCCAACACCACCACCGACTCAGACAACTCTAGCACCACCACTTACTTAGCCTCCATCATTGATCTTGACATCTAAGAAAGTCACATTCATTCCTATCCAAAGATTGACTCTCCTACCTCAAGATTGACTCCTCATGTTTTGTAAGAGGTTGTTCACACGTGACTTTCGACGAACAACCTCTAGCCTCTTATTAAAAGTTTATGTGCAGGATCAGCTACAAAAATCCTAGACTATGTGCTAAATATAAGTTGGACGTTTGAGTACTTTAGGTTTGGAAAGGTAGAAGAAACAATATGATTTCAAGATTAACCAAATAAATGAAAGAAAAGTACAGTGAGATTGTAAAGGGGAAACAAACAAAAGAAAGACAAGTTTCTTTCACGTTGGTACTTTGAGTATATTCTCTTAATGCTACAAAATGCGACCTCTAGAGCTGAGATTGACAGTTTCTTAAATATGCCTAAGAAGTGACGGTTACTCTACTGTCCATCGTCCCTGGTCTGCCACGTGTCCACCCACGTACGTCCACTATCTCTATAACTTTCCATGTTTTCCTCTGTTGTAAGCTTGCTTGTTCGCCTGAAGCCTTTGGCCTTCCTTCGACTTCAACTGGGATAGTTATTTGTCGAGCCTGCCTCAATGTTCTTCTGACAGGATAGGTTGTCGAGGCTTCTTCGACCCGATTCTGCAAGATGTCCTGTCAAACTTCCTTTTGCTTCCTTGGTCGAAATTTTCCAGCTTACAAATTGCCCCATAAAAGTCCAGTTTCGACTGAGAAACTGGCGTTTTAAGTTCTGCCAAATTTCGCCTTTATGTCATGTCTGCTGACATCACGCGTCATGATGACAATTTTTCGACGTTGCGATTTCCAAGAAACCCTTCATCATTTGCCATGATTTTGGCTATTCCCTAGGTCATGGATTTTCAACTTCCCCTATTAAACCTCCCACTACAGTGGAAACGGAACAATCATGAAATTATTGTCAGCTGCCACTTGTCAATCGTGGCTATTTGATTCTTGTTGTCTATAAATACCATTTTCTTTTTTACCTTCTTCTTCTTCACTTGCGCTTTTCCTGAAACCTTAGAACTTTGAAACTTCAGCATTCTCACTGTGTTTCCAAGAAACCTTTCACTTCTGGCCTTTCAAGGGCCATATCCAAGTATTAAAACACACCCCAAGCATGTGCAAGAGTTTTCCCCTTGTTTCACTCATGCTATCCCGCCTGCCTTTGAGAAAAACAATTCCATCGACCTGAAGTTTATGGACCCCAATGCTCGAGTTTTTAGGTCGATGCCAACTCCTGGCAACAAAGAATATATGGCTTGGCTTGACAAGGTCCAAAACAAACGTAAAGCACAATGGGAGAAGGCATGCATTTTCTACGCCATTCAGATTTCGACGCAACTGAGCTACAGCTCCACACCTGCAGCATCCTGGGGAAGCACAACTTTTCTCCCCCACTTGGATTCATTCCCACTCCTGCAGACAAGGTTTAAAACAACAAACGTGTGCCGACAGTGTTTTCACACACATGTCGCATACAAGGGAACATACAACATTAGACAACTTGGCCGGATGGACCGACCTGCTCTGATACCACTTACGTAACACCCTTCTAAACCCCACGGAAAGTAAGCATAATCAGAGTAAAATTAACATGCATTCACAAAAAGGGTGTCACACATAATATCAAATTACTAAAGACCACCTGTAATGCTTAATAACACTGAAATAAATAATCATACTTTACAAGATTTCATTTGCATGTAACAGCGGATTCATTTATATCACAATCTTTCATAAAAGAAATATTTGCCTTTATCACATAAATCACATCACTTAGGCTCTAAGGCCGACATCACAAAATACATTAGAAATATATCCTAAACAATCCCAGTGTTACATGACCAGAGCACGACTCGACCCAATAAAATTAAATCTCTAAACAGCTACACCAACAACGACCTCGCAACCACGAGCAGTACTACACCTTGAGACCTGCACGATGTCACGAAGGACATCATTCCAGCAGAAGGGTGAGAAATACTATCATAATAACAATGCATATAATCATGTATACAAATGCACAAATACCGAATACATACATTCTACATTTTCTCACCACAATACATTATAAACGTCATATATGTCACCACACACATTTACCTACTTAAGCACATTCAACAATTCACATGCACTCATGCAACATGTTTATTCCACCAATTCACATAAACATCTATATTCATGTTTATTTCACCAATGCATCATATAAAGATGATAATGCAACTCATAGAGACCGACTCACGACTTTATGCAGATGCAAATGCGGTACCGACTCATTCAGCAGGTTCAATTGAAGAACCAAAGGAACCATCGCTCGTTACCGAAGTAACTCCCCGTCGGGCCTACGACGTTCACCCATCGCTCACACCCCACATGGGCACACGACGTTTCAGGATTGCTCACACCCCACAAGGGCACACAATCATTCTGCAGATCCTCCACGGGATCAAGAATAAACCATCGCTCACACCCCACAAGGGCACATGAGGTTTCTGCAGATCCTCCACGGGGTCAAGAATAAACCATCGCTCACACCCCACAAGGGCACACGAGGTTTCTGCAGATCCTCCACGGGATCAAGAATAAACCATCGCTCACACCCCACAAGGGCACACGAGGTTTCTGCAGATCCTCCACGGGATCAAGACACAAGAATGCAATCATGATGCTACACACGGACAATGAATCCATGCACTCTTGAAATGCACACATTTTCACAAATATATACAATTA